TGTTACTCCCTTCCTATAATCAAGACTGTATGTATTCTGATATCATTCTTATATTTGTCTTTTTATATATATTTTTTCATGGTTGGAGATATACCAGTGTTCTCCAAAGGTCGTTTTCATTGCTTGGCTCAAATTGTTCTGTTTAATGCCAAAAGTAGAAAGAGACCTTAGAAAGCTATGCAAACGTCATATATTAAAGTCAAGTTATGCACTGAAACAGCTATACTAGAATTGACGGGAATGTCATATCCATTAAGAACATGTCATAAGATTTCTGTCCTTGAATATGCAACTTCCCCGAACCTATAAAACTGATGGTGTTCTCAGATACTCCTGTTAATGTGAAGAGAAAATGAAAGTATGTGGAATATGATTGAACTGAGGATTCAAGCATGTTCTATGATCGGTGCTGGTTAAAACTGAAATTAATCGTCTAAAGAATTGTGCTAAATGTCAAGGCTGGTGTTTGTTCGTCTCAACTTTGAATAGCACATTAATGATCTGATCAACTTGTAAGTGATGATTTGTTTATTTCCACAAACAGGCGTCAAGGGATTTTCAGAGAATCCACCGACCACCTGTATAATGCAGCCACTCAAGAAAGGGAAACAACATTGAATCAGCTGTTGATAGAGCTTGATGGCTTTGACACTGGAAAAGGTGTTATATTCTTAGCTGCTACAAATCGTCGGGATCTTCTAGACCCTGCACTTCTTCGACCAGGTCGTTTTGATCGCAAGGTACTGGTATTAATTTACAGACAATTATAAGAGAAAAGAAGAAAAATAAGGGAGGGAAAACAGCTATATTTTTGTTATGGGCATCAAAGTGCTTTCTTTAAGAGTATCATCTTATGGAGATTGAATCTGCCATTTCAAGAGGAATTTTAGTTTGCTTCTCTTGGCCATTGTATCTCTAAAATTTGATTTTATCTCTCTATATACTTTCTACTATATAGATAAGAATTCGTCCTCCAAATGCAAAAGGGAGATTTGAAATTTTGAAGATTCATGCTAGCAAAGTGAAGATCTCGGAGTCTGTTGATTTATCCTCTTATGCTAACAACTTACCTGGTATGTGTTCAACTTAAAGCTTATACTGCAATTATGTTTTTTATGTCCAACGTTATACATTTTGTCGTCAGGATGGACTGGAGCTAAGTTGGCGCAGCTGGTCCAAGAGGCTGCTCTTGTGGCAGTCAGGAAAGGTCACGAGTCAATTCTTCAGTCAGATATGGATGATGCGGTTGATCGACTTACAGTAGGACCCAAACGTGTTGGCATAGAGTTGGGCCATCAGGGACAATGTCGTAGAGCTACTACTGAAGTGGGAGTTGCCATGACTTCTCATTTGCTTCGGAGATATGAAAATGCAGAAGTTGAATGCTGTGATCGCATTTCGATTATCCCCCGTGGTCAGGTCTGCTTTCTATTCCCTTAATTATATGGTTCTCCATGAACAGATTTTGTGGATGCTTGTTCATTTTATGCTGAATAATGACTCCTCTCTCTGAACTGAGAGCCAATAGTAGATATTCATACTGTGGTTGACGGGGAAAGCTGAAATAATATAGCACCAATAGATTACGAAGTAATAAGAAAACTAGACACCAGTCCAGCTAGTTCTGTTATCTGCCTGAGAGAATGATGCTTCAAGCTTAGCTGGATGTATAACCTTTACTTCAATAAAAAGAAAAAGAGTGTATGTTATGTTCCCGAGACCAGGATCTTGTTATTGAGCGGTTATCTGAAATTTTCGGTTCTATAATTTGCTTTTTCTCCTTATTGCGATTTTTTGAGTGACCTATTTCGTGAAAATAGATTACAACTATCTTGTTAGAGAGAGCTTCAATTTCGTACTTTAAAATAATATTTTGATTTATTTTATTAATAACATGTATTTCCTTTTATATAAATATTACAATTCTTATTTAATAATGTTAATTTAATTTAGAATCTAAATCTAATTAGAAATATTGTACTAAAATATTGAAAATTCTACACTATTTAGAAATTAAATATTAATGAAAAATATATATATTATTTAGAAATCTAATACTAATTAGGATTCTAACTA